TCTCTGCTGTCAGTCTCCCCGCTGTGCGCCTGTGTGTGCGTTTCCTCTCCTGCTCTCTGTCAGACAGTCGGCTAATTGCTGCTTAAAGTTTTGTCAGGCTTCTTTCTCTAAAGAAGCAAACACTCGCACATGTTTTCACTGTTTCCCTCACGATGCAGTTTTCCGTCAGTGACAGGGGAACTCGCTCAGTGTGTGTACATCTACTGCAGTAACTCAGAGAAGTCAGGTTTCACAGGCAATCCGGGAACATGTTTATGTGCTCTGCGGTGTCCTGGTTACTGTAAATCCACATGTACATGCAACAGCGTGGATTTTTCCTTTGGACGTACTTTGGAAGTACGGCCTACTGATTTGAGCTGTGTTCTTTTTACTTTTCAGGGGCAATGCACATTAACCCAGGTCAGTGTAGATACCGCAGAGTTAGCCAAAAGGCTGATGTTCAGCTGTCGTTCCTTGGCCACCTGTTCAGATACAGCTGTTAAGACAAGAGACAAAAAAAAGCATAATAAAACTCTAAGGCAGATGTTGTGATGTGCAAATGTTCATATCAGACAGTTCACACAACAAGGTGCCGACGTTAGAACACAGACGACCTCAGTAAAACAAGAGGGGACGTAATAATAAGTCAAAGCCAGGTGTGATGGCAGCTTTACGGTCACTGAGTTGTGTACTCAGTGGAAGGATTTTAGTTAGTGATCAGTGTGCTGCTTCCTCACTTCATGTTCTTTGTTTCTTCCCTTCTTGTTGTTGCTGTGTCTGAGAGCAACTCTTTCTCAAACTATCTGAGTCTAGCAAATGTTCAGCGATGGAATTTGTTTATATTTGCAGAGGCCACTTTCTGTTGCTTTCAGGTTTTGTCAGACTGTTACTTTGAATACAAGGACACACTGCTTCGTGTAACAAGCTCTACTTTCATCCAGTGCACTTTCCCTGTGTGCAGTCTTTTGTCATGCACACTTTCAGAAAGCCCATAAGAAACCCAGGCGTGTGTGCACACAGCAGAGAGCTTGGCCTTCCCAAGCAGAAATCAGGTCTCCTTTATCCCATCCCCTGATTACAGGATCTCTTGTCTGCATGGTAGTTAAGAAGTCAGCTGACTGCATGTAGGCCCTGTCAGCATCTGTTTCCACGCGTTGGGTACCACTGCTGCAAAGTGAAAAGACTTGTTGCAAATTGTGAGTTTTACTTTGAGTTTTTTCATTGAACTCATTTAATCCAAACAAAATGCATCATTACATCCTGTGGTCTTACCAGCCTGTAGTTTCAAAAAGCAAAGTGTGCAGAAACAAAAAGCTAAAGGTGATGTAGTCCAACAGCTTTTCAGTCCAAACATTACTAAGAGTAGTATCAGAGAAAATGAGGAAGAACAGCAAATGCTCGCGTTTTGCTACTTATTTATTTTCCTGGAAGTATGTCCTAAAAGATGAATCACTGATCAATAGAAAACCTGATCGCCAAAGAAACAGATGCTGATACCTTGCAGCTCTTAATTTAAGCTAAAGCTCAACAAAAGAAGTCAGTGTAACAGGGGTAGCTTGCACTTTGCCAACAGACATGACATGCTGAGCAGGTCTTTGTTGCCTTCCACAGCAGCTGGATGACATGCGGCGTGATATGCGCTGGATTACAGACGCCCTGCAGTACGCTCGCTACAAGCAGCCTCGGGGCGGCGTGCCCATCACCTGCTTGGTGGACGCCAGTGCTCCAGAGGAAGACCCCAGCCAGCAAAAGACTGACTCCACCTCCTCGACCATGGACTACCTGCCCACGCCTTCGCCATCACCTGAGCTTCATAGGAGAAAGGCCATCAGCGGTGAGTCATCACATGATAGCTGTCTCCCCAGAAACACACTCAGCAAACATAAAACACACCCTGACACTCTGTCTGCTCACAGACTCTCTGCTCGGCTCTGATGAAGATGGGTCCTCTGAGGTTTTTCTGCCTACAGACAGCGACTACGACTCCAGCGACGCCCTGAGCCCCCACGAGATGGACCTGCTCTACTCGCCAGCCCAGGATCTCTCCCAGCAGGCCGCGCACTCGCTGGGCAGCAACGCCCCAGACGTGCTGCAGGTCCACGAGCTCAGGTGATAGTTTGGAAATGGTAGATCTTTGATTAGTTTTCTGTCAGTGATCAGATAGAACACGATGCCATCCGCATCATGTCATGCACATGCTGTGTAGGCTGAGGCTGATGACAAGCCCAGTAACAGTGTCACAGTGGGAGGCAGCGGCTCGTGTGTGATCTCTGACCAGTAGACATGCTCCACTGTGCCGTGGCTGTGAATCTGATGGATGTTGTCACGGTCTGCTCCCCTCTCTCAGGTACAGCATCTGCCCACCCAGAGACCTGCCCCTTTCCCCAGTGGTGAAGGATCCCAAGTCTAAAGATGCTCCTCTCTCCTCACCCCTCCTCCCCCACTCCCCCTCTCTATCCAAAGATGCCCCTCGCTCTCCCTCCCTCTCCAGGACCCTGTCCACCTCTCCATCCCTTCCCCTGTCTCCCAGATACTCCAGAGACCTGCTGCTGTCCCTCCCCCTCTCCCCGGTTCTGTCTGACACCACCAAGACACTAGAGGGCCTGTCTGTCTCCAACAGCCAGCAGGAGGCTGTTCCTCCTCTGAAGGGCCTCGCCAACCCCCCCGCCAAACGCAAACTGCTCTCCAAGAGCCACAGAGGCCAGTATTTCAGCGGGCCCCAGTGCTGGCTCAGAGGCCACAGCAGTGAGAGTCACACCGGCTCTTTATCTGAGGGCATCTACACCAAGCAGCTCGACCTGGACCTGCCTCTGGCCAGGGACCTACCCTCCCCGCAGGGCACCACCTTTGTGAGCCCTGCTTCCTCCAGCCTGGAGAGCCGGAAGGGCCGACACCGGGAGCCCCGGCCCCATGTCCGCAGGATCTTTGTGGAGCCCTGTAAGGAGCTTTCGCCAGGTCACGAGAGGAATAGTTGGGAGGAGGAGCAGGGGGAGGAGGTGATGCAGAAGGTGAAGGCTGCAGGTGTGTCAGTGGTGGTGGCACAGGTGGAGTCTGGCGGGGAGGAGGAGGAGCCAGAAGGAGCCACCGCCCCGGACGTAGACTCTGACGACCAAACCAACGCCCAGGTGTCAGAGATACTCAGCAGCACACTGTAGAGTCGCACAACAGCAGGTCATGCAGAGTGTTTAAGGCTGCCCTGGGCAGACAGTACAATTTCGGTCCCATCTCATCCTCTGCAGTCCAGGATGCTCCCCATGGAATCGCTCTGTTGACGAGTTAGCCAGACGTAAATCTGTCAACCATCCAGTTAGTCTGTTGTCAAAACATGCTCTTCAAAATGTTTCTGGGGTAGTGTTCAAATGTGTGCAATCCTTTACGGCCTGTTTCCAAGTGCAGTGTGAGTGGGCCCGTTGCTGCCCCTTAGGGCCAATCAAGGACAAGCACCCACTAGAACTCTGTCCAACCACACCAGTGTGTGTGTGTTTGTTCAGCTGGTTTTTACCCTTTTAGAGCAGCTCAGACAGTTTCACACAAGTTAGCTGTGATAACCAGGTGGTGTGTAACCTGTTCCACATCCAATGGCCAGAAACGTTCTGACTGACAAGTCCTGCTATGTTAAGGAACCACAGCAGCGCCACTCTGTTGCACTGCACTGAGACGTTATCTTTTATAACGGTGAGGTTTTGTACTGTTACTGTTTCACAGTAAGATATCCTGTTTAGCTGGAGTGAACAGAGCTGAGTGGTTTGACGTAGTTGCTCAGTCAGCCGTGATCTTTAGTTGGAGAAAAGTCTATTATCCCTGAGTTCATGGCAAATTATTGCTGCCTAAGACAGTCAAGCACTTGACGGCGCTGTGCTACAGATGGCGACCGTCTGAAGCCAGAGTCAGTCTCTGTGTGAAACTGGCCCTACAATTAGAGGAAGTAGTTTTAGTTTTACAGGTTGGTTTGGTTAACTTCAGTTCAAGTGGCCACTGTTGTCGAAACCTTTCCATGGGAGGCACCCAGGCTGTTTACCATGCAGGGGGTGGGACTGTCCCACACGGGGCCAGTAAGTGACTCCGTAAACTTAAAGAGCAACTCCACACTGCAACACTAGATCTCAGCAAGTTTAGAACTTTGACTTAGTGTGGTACTACATCACTGCTGCACAGGCCGTTGTCACTACGGGTTAACAGGGCACGCAGGGGCATTTAGATCAACTCACTCCTCACAGCTGCGTTTAGGTGCAACCATATGTTTACCGCTGAAACATTGAGACCTGAACAGGTACAACACACAAAAATTGGAGATGGTCTAAAATATAAATGTGTCTAATAGACATTTTCTCTGCATCACTGCTTTGTTTCTTATCTTCACACACCCTCAAAGAGGATGAACTCTCCAGGTTGTGCAGGTACATAACAATACACATTTAACTGTTACTGCCGCTTGAGGATGCCAAGTTAAAAACTGCTCAGTGTGGCTTTCACATCACCTCAAACCTGGACATCAGCTTCTGGCTCTCGCTTCATATCACCAGTGCACCCCCTGCCCCCACCACGGTGACGGTTGGCATCCAGGCCAATAATGTCAGACCTCTCCATAGACTGTAAACTGAACTAAAGTTGCCGGTTCAACTCCGCCACTCTTCAGAAACCATGGCATCGACTGTTACAAAGGAAACAATCAATGCAACCGTAAACCAAGCACTGCTTGTGCAACCAGGAACTTTGCACATGACCAAAAAACACTGGGTTGATAATGGCTCATTTAAAACTCTCAAACCTTTTTCCCATTTTAATTTTGTCAAATGCCTGAACTGAACAGTTGGAAGGTCATTATTTTTGTGGCCCATCTCCAGACCATGGATTCTCCTCTACGTGAAGTGAATGTACAGTTTAGTCTGCTGGTCTGTGATCTGCTGTGACGACTGTATCTCCCACCGGGTCTGACAGTGGTTGAATTAACCTGTGGTCTCAAACACATGAGCTGCCTCAGTCACAGACCACTCGAAAGCTTACAAGTATTTTTGTATTCTCGGATTTGAAGGCATTTTACCTGTAATGTTGGTGAATACACTGATGAGCCAAAACACTATGAGCACCTACCCAGTGTTCGCCAGATCTGCTCCAGCCTGCTGAGGCCGGGACTCTGCTTGACATCTGAGAGTCACAGTGGTGTCTGGTACTGTCAGCTGTGGGCTGGGGCTGCAGTGGATCTATGGACTTATTCATGCCTTCTCGGGCTCATAGGGTGTCCCTCCATGGGCCACCGCTGGTACTGTTGGTCCTCACGACATTTGAGCGGGAGCCCCCTGAGCCTTGGTGTGTCAGTTGTTTGGCCATGATGATCTGGTCCTTGTTAAAGTTGCTCAGGTCTTTACACCTGCACATTGTCCCACATCCAACACTCTGGCTACACCCTAATTCCCTTTGATCGCTCCTCGCTTGGCCCAGAAGGACGTCATTCCATTCCGCCTCTTGAAGGATGTTCCGGTTCCCTCGAGGAGCAAGGAGGTTGCTAGAGGCGATGGGAGCCAGGATATACGAGTGCATCCTGTGTGGAAGTCGTGATGGACTGATACACCCCTTTACTGGTTAGTGTTTGGACACTTCACATGAAGAAACAGAGGAAAGGACATCTCATGTCTCTAAAACTGTTTCCTTGATTCCTCTCTCCTCACATTTTTTTCCTTGTGTCCTATGTGGGTGGGACTAAGGCACAAGTGAGGGAACTGTGGATGCAGAATTGGGATGTGCTCACTGACTGCAAGAACCAAGTGTTCATTTCCCACCTAACATCATCCAGACCTTGCTACGAGACGGTCGTAATGTTTTGGCTCATCTGTGTAGTCACTGCTGTATTTTGTCGGCATGAACAGTTTGTAGCTGTTGGTTTTCTGAGCTAAAGCTTTTGTGTCTATTTTGTGCCTCCTGCTGCATTCAGCATGAAGATGTCCCGAGGGGGTGGCTCTCATTTGACTGAGAACAGCCTGCACTTTGCCCCGGGACTGGCCGTGCAGTTGGAGCTGACGGTGTTTGTGCTCTGCTGTTGTGTTGACTTTCTGTTGTAACCTCCCCTGTTACTGTAGTGCTCCCTCGGAGGCTGCTGCCGTGTCCTCCCTTTTTTTTTGGATTGTTTCTTCTTTTTTTTTTTAACATGCACCAAAAACGGCAGCAGTTTTATTTGTAGTATCGAGGAGTTAGAAGAGACTCGTGTCAGTGCATTTGAGAGCTGTTTGAACATGCACGGGTTCTTAAACTGTATGCACAGTATTTCAAAAGTGCTTTTTAATGTTTGCACATAGCAATTATGGAATAAAAGCTAATGGAATATTCGATGCTCTCAGGCATTAACTGTGGCAGCTTTTATCATTAATGACTGTATATGGGTCGGTTTATTGTTGATGGAATTTCCAAGTTTTGTTCTTGTTTGAATGTGTGAACAACTTCACTTCACAGCCAGTTGTGACTCAGTAAAGTAAGACACTTACACTGCAGCTGTTGCGAGTTGGACAGATGTTTGGCAGATGTGTTCGATTTCTTTCTGAGAATTAGAAGATCAGTAGTAGAATCAGTAGTAGAGAGCAGAGTGGTTCAGTCTGTTTGTGTTGTGAAATGTGTCCAGTTGGTTGGAATGTTCTAGCATCAGGCAGGTGACTGAGACTGTTAAACAGTCCGTTATGTGCACATCACATGTTGGAACGGCTCTTCACATGTTGTTCTGTTGATGTCACATGTTTCCAAGCTGTCAGCCTCCTGACGATCACATCCACCTCCAGTATTTTGTTACCGTGTGTAAATACAACCAAGCTGAGACGACCTTCTGTCTGTATATTTTTGCATCACTATCATTTATCCTGATCAGTCCACTCTGATGCCACTTCTCACTTTATTTATTGGGACGATAGTTTTTTTTATGGACTGTAAAATGAAGCTTCCAGTGTTTTCATGCATTTTGCAACCTCTGAACTCACATGAATGGATGTATTTTAACAGCTGAAATAAACCATGTCTTATGTGGATGTTGTGCAGCCTGTGAGTTTGTCTTTTATCAGAATCAGACTCAGCTTTGTTGGACACACGAGGAGTTTGCCTGTGGTACTATGGCTCTCAGTGTGCATGGACAATGTTCTACCATAGGCAACAAGGAGACAAGTAAATGAGATAAGGCTTAGAGAACAAGAAAAGAAGAAGGAATGGGCACTAGGAATATACAAATAAAGTAGTTCTAAATGTAAAAATATATATACACACAGTTTAGATGCAGTTTTGCAGATAGATACATACTACAGTATATTTACAGGCTATCAGAACTCGCAGTCAGCTGACAGATGCACAGAAGGTGATTTGGATCATTCAAGGTGTTATTCAGGCATCAAAACTCCATGGAAATGCGAGCTGGTCCTGAGCTGAGGTTTAGCTCAGAGCCCTGCTTCAGACTTTTACTTTAACCTGTTTGTTTCCCCAAAACAAATATTAAGAATTGGTCTTTTTACTTGCTGCCAGCAAATGTGTCTGAATAGAAAAGTTATTTCTTCACCTGGGAACCAGTAGTTTGACAAATAATAATAATTTCCATTAACTAGTTTTGTGTAGCTTTCAGCCACATCCCATGGTTCACTCTGCTCTGTTCAGGCGTTGTCATTGATGAAGCCCTGAAACAACAACATAGTGTGTAAGTGTAGAGTAAAAGTATTATCTGACAGGCTGATTTAGCAGAGTGTTTTTCTGAATTATAATCAATAGATTAATGCAACACTAAAGGCATCTTTACACAGTACTAATTTACTTAATCTTGAAAAATGTCATTTATTTGTTGATAGTTTTGTATTTACAGTCAGAATCTGTGAAACGTAACAGAAGTTAAACTATTCTGAGATGTAGCGCAGACGTTTTGAGTCGGGGTGTTGTACTGAGTTACTGTGTGCAGACAGGACTTGAACTCCAGAGGGATTTCCCTCTGAGTGTCTGGACTCCTGGTCCTGGTGTGGACCCGGTCTGCAGCATCTCATCACAGAGCTCAGAGTGGCAGTGCTGCAGGAGTCCCGGCTGGCAGGCCGAGCTGCTGCGGCGGCCTGAGGACACTGTGTGGGAGGGTGTGAACCAACTGGAATCTCACACCACTGCTGGCAGGGAGTTTTCCCACCGGAGAGCTCGGAGCATTTCGGAGCATCGATCCAAACCACAGGATTGCTGCTCCCTGGCCGTCGCCGCTAAAGGACTTGGCTGTGCGCACACAGTCCGTCAGTGAGAATGCACGGCGCTCTGGAAACACTGATGCATTTATGTAGCTGAGCCTGGGAGCTGCCTGAAAACTGCAGGCAACGTTTGAGGAACTTGACCTGCAGGAATCATATACACGTCATATTTTCATACCTCATCTCTGACATTTCAGTTAGTGTCGTGTGTTAATATGAGGAAGGTCCCAGCCTCGTCATTGCTCCATACACATCTGGGTTCAGCTCCTCAGTGACGTCTGAGTCACATGATTCATTGCTAAGTTTGTTTCCACTGTCAGACTTTGTTTTTGCACCTCAGCCAGAAGTGTTTGGTCCAGACAAAGTGCAGGTTTTAACCAGGATGTCAGCAGATGAATGCATGTTTCTGTTGATCTGTGGACCACTAGACCACTACAGGAGAAAGTGCCCAACAAGATGATGAGCAGAGCTCCAGTCGGAGTTCACACTGTGACGCAGCATGCTGCTGCTGTGACCTCTGTTTCAGGATGGTGGCGGTCTCCTCATCTGTTTTGCTCTGCAGCTGCTTTTTGTCTTTTCATTGACATGACCGGTGGCTGAAACCCACCGCACTGCAGACATCAGCTAAGACAAACAGCACAAACACAATATAACTCCAAGACGCTGCTGTGAACAACAAACATGGCAGACTGGGGACATTTTCTGGATAAAACTCTGTGTGTTTTGGCTCCTATCTGGTTAAATCTGCTTCACCTGAGGTTTGTCTTTGCAGAGAGATCCAGGACGTGAGGATATTGTTTTCCAGTGCCTTTCCAGTGCTGGTCAGAGGCAGGAGGTGCTCAAACGGGTTGACCTGCCTCT